AGAAGATGAATAAAATAGAACAAAATATGTGTATAAACTTAAAAAACAAAGACAAAAGCAAGGAAATGAAGAAAACCCAACCAAACAGTAAAAGTGAAACAATACATACAAAGAAAAATATAACAAATTCCTCTGGTGTCCACTGTTTTGTGGTAGTGTCCAAATCAGTGCCCCACCAATCCTTCAATAGGATTAGCACTAGATTTGTTACAGGGCTGATATTGACCTCTAGATATTGGTATCATGGCCAGTCTTTAGCCAGCAGCTTTCTGGGTATCTCACCCTGTTTGCCTCTGTGTTGCTCTCCTAGTTGCTGTAGCACCCTAACACAGAAAATCCAAGGCTGCCCTCAGTCCCATGTACAGTTTTCTGCTGGGTCTTGTACAGCCCACTCCATGTCACACTACTGATTTCTCTCCCTCTGCCATCCTTGTTCAGCACTGGTTATTGCAAGTTGTAGGGAATACTGACTTACTGGCCCAAAGGTGGTTCTGCTGCTGGTCACTGATAGTCACAGGGGAATAAAAGGTGCTAAATTTCCATTCCCTGTGCTGGTTGCCATGTAACAGTCCAAATTCCATTTCTGTGCCAGTGGTAGGGCAAGAGGAGTTGTGTTGTTTCCCTGTCACTCTTCAGTGCCACGGTTGGTCTCTAAAGTTGTAGCTAGAGGTTCCAGTTAGTGGTTTTGATGCTCAACAGAGAAAGAAAAAGAAGACAAAAGAAAAGAAGAGAAAAGGAAAAGAAAAGAAAAAAACAATGTTTCATTGGAGAGAGAGAAGTCACTCACTTGAGAAATAAAGGGAGTGTGAGCAGTTCTTGTCCCTGGATGTCTCAGCTGTGGTGCTATCTTGACATTAGAGCTTTGTGCATATGCTCTATTCCAACATAGTCAGAGGTCTCTATGTTCAGTAACTTAAACCTGTACATCTCAGTCTCCAAGAATGATTTACCAAAGCAAATATTCCATTTTCAATTTTCCACTTAAAATTAATTTTATTGGTACATTTTAAAAATTTTCTTTTATTTTGAAGAATAAAAACATGAGCAAGAAAAACAAAAGCAAAGACAGAAGCAGGGTAACATACAACAATGCACACATTACAGATTTTCAAAACAAGAATATCTGACCAACAGTGATTGATACATCATCTATTTTCATTGCCAAATCTGTTCCTCAAATTAACAGATATAGTTATGCAAGATGAGACAAGTGATTGAATATTACCACATACTTCCAAGAAGTCTTAAATTTTTGTTCTTGTCTCTCATTTTCTTTTATTGTCTTAAAAAATTTACTTTAAAGAGAATATAGTAATAATTGGTAGGATATTAGAAATGGCACACATTTAGAAGACCAAGATGACAGGTATTTCAAGCATGGTTGTAGGTACATTTTTGATGCACAGAAGGGTCACATTCATCATAAGGAATTTGTACCCTTATGTGATATATCTTGATTCTTCTGTTCTTCCCCTTTCCCTTCTCCTCCCTTCAACCCTTCTACCCTCCTTATCTCCAAAAGATTTGTTTCCATTTTCCCCCTCAATTCTTTTTTTCTTTCCCCTTCCTTTATACTCCCCTTTCCTTGCTTCCCTTGCCATTCGAACATTTTCTTCCCTCTCCCAGTATCTGTCATCCTTCTTGGTCCTTATTTACACTGAAGCAAATACTCCTAATTGGTTACCTTATTGTGAAGAATGTATTGTGCCTTGCTTTATTTCTAGATCCTAAATACTGAAATGAATAAATATTCTACTGAGTTAACTATTTTACTGAATATAACTGTTTATAACATGTGGAAAGTATGAGGGTTTTGGCTTTTAAATTTCTCAAAATGTACTTATGCACATAAAACATAAGTGAAGGGTTAGGGTTAGGGATAGGGTTAGGGTTAGGGTTAGGGTCTTGTTTATGTTACAGTGTAAACAAGACATCAATTAGTGCTGTTTTGAGGCTCATAAAAAACCAGAATGAGGGGCAACCTGCCAAGTAAACAGATATGCAGGCAGAGGCGCGGAACCCAAGAGAGTGAAGGACTTGTACTGCATGGGCAGATGCAACAGTGTTTAGGCCAAACCTGAGGGAGAGAATCCTCCCCCCAAAATTCTTTTAACTTTGCATTTTCATTCCTAGGAAGCAGCCATTGGACAAGGTTAAGGAGTGGTGCGGAGTAGGATCGTGGCTTGTCTGAGCACCAGCTCCCAGTTGATAGCTGACCACCCCTGTTCTGCATGGCTGCAGCCTCCTCTGATGCAACATTGAGTTTGCCTAAGTTATTCAAGGCCTTGTAGTTATACTGAGAACTCTGACATGTTAGACCAGGGTAAAAAAAAATGCTTTTGGTTTGTATTGTGGATACAGGTTTTATTTTAGTTTTCTTTCTCCTTGTTTATTCTATGTACTATTCCTTTTTGGGAATGCTAGGTTCGGACCCTCATGTACAGATGATTGTATTTCATTCACAGATCAGTGAGTTTTATTATAAAGAGAAACTCTATACATTAAAATCCTAAAATGATTTTGATAACATTAGTATTACTGGGTGGGCAGTGGAGGTGGGATTTGGTTACCCCTGAGGTTCTATTGTGTGACAGAAATGTTTAGTTTTTGAAGTCATATAGATTTGAATCGAAATCCTGACATCCAGTGTTATTATTTGCTTGGCCTTGTGAGTTATTTTACCTCTCTAAATGTTACTTTTCTCATCTGTAATATGTAAACAACAATGACATCTATTGTATTGAAAAATAATTTCTAAGAGGATTTATACATATAAAACAGCTAGTATAATGCCTCTAATACACATACATCAAGAATGGCTATGTTTACTCTTCCCCTTCTAATAGCTGTTGAATTTTTCTCTTTGAAAATATCTCTACTCTAATTCCACAAAACTTTTCTTTATCTCCAGTGTCATCACCCTTTCTTAAAATGGATTTTCTTCTTTTATATCTAAGACGTTTTAATAATTTTTCTTTTTTGGTCTTTTTTTTTCCTCTGTCTTCTTCATTTATTGCATGATTTTGCATTTAAACTTGTGGCTTCCCAGGGTTTATAAAAGAAGAATAAATAAAAATGTGAGATGCCTCATGCATAATCTAAATTATTTAGTTTTGTCAGTCAAGGCTCTTTACAATCCAAGCAGTTGATTAGGATCATATTATGACTTGTATTTAGATATCCCCGCAGAGTCTCATGCAGTCATAGGTTGGCTTTCAGAGGTGGCTGAGTCTAGGGAGTGTGATGCTGGGATCAGGGACTTGAGGCTAGAATTGATTCATGGTGTGACGCTAGGATTAAGGGTGTAAAGGCTACTTGCCATAAGAGTGGGCAGCCTGGACAAAAATAGGATCAGAGAGCCTTGCTTAAGGCTGGCTGCTTGTTTGCTGCTTGATTTGTCCTACTTTCTGAAGGACGATGCATCCTCTGAGATCTCCTCTGCCCTGCCACCCTGCCTTGGAGCCAGCCAATGGACTGAAACTGCTATGAACTGTAAGCCAATAAATCTTTCCTTGTTTAACTTCAGCTTCCAGCAATGAGAAAATAACTAAGCCAGACCATTTGCTCATTTCAAAGCAAAGCAAGATGTTTCTCAGTTATTTGGCAAGTTGCATTAACTAGACCTGGAGTTAACTCTTTAAGTCTAGCCATGCCTTGCTTTCTATAAATGCCCACTCATTTAGGATATCACAGCATTGCCAGCCCTGCAGATCCAATTTGAACCTCAGCAGGTATAATAATTTGTCTATGATTTCTGTAGCCAGCTTGGCAGGAAACAGAAGCAGCTGTTTTACACTAGGCAACATAATTATATTCTTTAGATGTCACATGACCCTATAAAATAATTATTTCCAAACTTGTTTTTTAAAAGAAGATATTGAAGCTTCCAGAATAACAAAATGTATACAAAATTCTTGGTCTAATAAGTAATGGGCTCACGATTAGAATACTTAGGTAGGTTCAAGTGTCTCTAAAATCCATGTTATTTTTGCCAATCAGTGCGTTCTTAGTCACCACTATCTGGAGTGAAAGAAATAAGACACAAAGTGGCTGCAAGTCATTTTATTCCCGAGTTGCATTTTTATTCCAAAGCACCAGGTTGCTCCTCTGAAGGTGGCTGATACACAGATTAAGGTCCATTTTATTATTTGTACCTTACATTTTTGCTTATATTGCTTTTTAATATGCATTGTATCATTAATAAAATTATTTATGAAAATATAAAAAATCTTAAGGTAAAGGAGGGCAAGAACAGCATTTCACATGTCTCTGCACCACGTTTCTTAGGGTTAGGAGACATTTATTTTCCCACCTCTGAAAATTTATTTTGGATAAAACAGTTGAAGATAAGTTGCAAATGATATATTGTGCAAAAGAACTAGGAAATGATTTAAGAGAGTATTTTAAGCACAGGTTTCCTGACACACGCAGAAGCAGGTTTTCTTTCAGGCTTGCAGGTCACAGCTGGCAGCCTTCTGCGTATACCACAAAGTGAAGATTTTTCTTCAATGAAAACAGCTATTCATGTGTAATAAAACAAAACTGCCTCTTGCAAAATAAAGTTTTTCCATCAAAAATCGCAGTAAGCATACCAGTAAATTTTTGAAATCTGTATCAACCTTATGTAATGCAGAAACATTGGTATGGTTTCATAAAACTGGAATCACCTATTAACTGAAAATACAACTGAAATATTTAAAGGGCTTGTGGCTGAAAATGATTGGCCTTACAGAGGTGTGCATAGTATGAATATTTTGATTAGATAGTGTTTCTGCCTTTTCGAAGACACTTGAAATATCAGGTACTTTGGTCCTTTTGTTTACAGGTGGCAAGCTTGTGAGTGCGACATAGAGCTTGGCCACTTGGTCAGGAGCTGAGCTAACAGTTATTCTGCATTCATCCGGAATGGTTTAATTCTTACTTGATTTAAAGCTTACACGGCGGCCTTCCTAGCACGTACGTGCCCGGGTCGGGCGGGTTGGCTGCTTACAGGGGGGCTCTCAGGGGCCTGGACAGAGCCGCCTCCCCAGTGCCCGCTTCACCTCTTGGTTCCGCAACGTGTAAATGAAAGGGTTGAGCATAGGGGTGATGATGGTGTAGAAGACGGCGGGCGCCCCCGCGGCGGGCCCGCTGGAGTGCGGCTGCAGGTAGATGCAGACAGGCGGCAGGTAGTACAGGAGCACCACGGTGAGGTGGGCCGAGCAGGTGGAGAAGGCCCTCTGCCGGCCCTCCGCGGTGCGCATGCGCAGCACAGCAGCCACGATGAAGACGTAGGAGGTGACAATGAGGAGCAGGCAGCCTGCAGCCACTATGCCAATGTTGGCAAGCATGACAAGCTCATTAATGGTGGTGTCCGCACAGGCCAACTTCAGCACAGGGGGGATGTCGCAGAAGAAATAGGCGATATGGTGAGGGCCGCAGTAGTGCAGGCGGAAGGTGAGGGAGGTATGCACGGCCGAGTGCGCCGCACCTACAGCCCAGGTGATCCCTGCCAGCCCCGCGCACATCCGTTTGCTCATGGCCACTGGGTAGTGCAGAGGCTGACAGATGGCCAGGTAGCGATCGTAGGCCATGACCGTGTACAGGAAGCACTCGGTGCTGGCTAGAAAGTGAAAGCAGTAAAGTTGTACAGCACAGCCTTGGAAGGAGATCAGCTTCTCCTCGGGGGTCAGTAGGCCTGCCAGGACCTTGGGCACTGTCACTGTAGACAAGCAGGCATCCAGGAAGGAGAGGTGGCCCAGGAAATGGTACATGGGGGAGTGGAGGTGCGGGTCAGAGGCTACAGTGAGGAGAATGAGGAGATTCCCAGTCACCGTGATGCTGTAGATGAGAAGGAAGAGGAGGAAGAAGAGGCTAGGGTGCTCCGCTGTGTACAGCAGACCTTGCAGGAGGAAGTGGCTCACCGCTGTCCCGTTGAGGTGCTGAGACTTGAAAACCATCTTCTCACAGATTAGTTGCTTAGCCAGTTTGCAACAACACAGAGGATAACAGGTACAGTGAATTGCTGTTTCTCTTCCTGAATTCAACATCCATTGGGGCATACCATGTTGGTCTCCTCATATACAAAAGAGAAGGATAGGGGCCGGGGAGATGGCTCAGGGGAATAAACGCCTCCCTGGCAAGAGCAAGGGCATGAGTTCAATCCTCTGTTCCACCAAAAAAAAAAAAAAAAAAAAAGTTTGTCAACCGAAGATCTGCCCTGTTCTTGTGTTTTCTTGTTGCCTGTTCTTTTAGAATGAATGATTCAGTGAATGATCTGAAGCACATAACAGGTTGCAAAGGTTAATTGCGAAAATGTACTCCATAAAAATGACTCTGTGGAGTGTAAACGTTGCTTTCACTGAGTGTAGGTTTTTGGACATATTCCTGAACTGTGAAACCTCTGATCTCTTCACTTGCTGTGCTATGCTTGAGCTGTGGACAGGCAGCTCTTTATTGCTGTTTGCCACTGTTTGTTGAATCCCACCTCTGGGATTTGCTTAGAGTTTGTGTGCTATTACATCAGCCAGAATACAGCACACCCCAGCCCTCACTCACAGGGATTCTTCAGAATTTCAGATACCCGCAATCCTCAGGTGCACAGCCAGGAAGCTCTGGAGAGCACACCAAGTGATTAGCACAACAAATTGTTTCATGCGTTTCTGTGAAGTTTTATTTTAAACTTTGGGAAATTGTTTTCGTATTCCTTTCTTGATTCTTTCCACCTGGAATGAAATTAAGGTTTAAGATTTCTCTTTGATCCTTTCCATCTTTTCCCTCCTAAGCCTATCTAGACAGTGTTTTATAAAAAAGCGTTCTTTAAATTGCCTTTTCTCCTATTAGTTCTCCAGTTCCCATGAGTTTTACCTAAACCTGCTTGTGTATGTTTTATTTCTAGCTTTTATAACAACATTTCATGCATCATCTTCTTACTCCCTAAGATGTTATATTATTCTGTACTTCTTTTTTAAATTTTATTTTATTGAAAAACGTAAAACAGAAATTCACAACAAATAGAAGAATAACAATAGTGAAAACAATACATATTTTCATCTTCAGAATATTTACTCAGAATACAAGATATGGGCATAAAAATTCTCCAATTGATACTAGCACCAACCTTTTAAAATGAAGTAAGAAATACTTGTTATTTTGAAAATAACATTATCTCTTTCTTTTCTGTGCCTCAAAGCCTATAATATGAAATGTATATTTTTATGATACTCAAAAATATCTCCTAGCTCTTTTCCTCATGATGAGAAGGCTTTAGTACCAGTTCTAAACTCTTTTAAGTATGTAGGTTTGATTATATCTTTTAATGTCTTAGTAGGGCTACTTCCCCTTAAAGTTCTTTAGTGTTTTATGTTTAATATGGCAGACATTGAAATATTTTCCTAAATTGCTTGTAGATGAAGTCATAGATCAGAAGCATCTCCTTGTACCCCAATGAAAGAATAATTCATACATTTCCTGCTTGTATTTGTATTTTATGTTTAGATTCATGATTCACTGCTGTTCCTTTCTATATATACTGGATATAATAAAGACTTGAATTTTGTGTTTATCCAAAGACTCCCAAGCTTTCTTGAACTATTTATTAAGAAGTGATCTTTGCCCCACTATGGTGCCATATTAATCATATACAGCACTAAATTTCTTTAAGTACTTGTAGGTACTTTTTTAGTTTGTATTTGATTTCATTTCTGTTTCTAGGTCATATATCTGTTGGTATATTAAGGTACCAGTGCTACACTCTTTTTAAGCATATAGGCTTTATTGTATCTTTTAATGTCTAGTAGGGCTACTTTCTTTTAAAGGTCTCCAGTGTTTTATTCCACATTCTTCTATATGTTTTATTTAAGTTTCTATTATGTATTTATTTATTTTATATATTTATGTATTTATTTATTATGTATTTATTTAGTTTCTATTATGTTTTTATTTATTTATTTGTTATGTAGTAGGCTGGCCTTGAGCTTATTGTGTAGCCCAAGCTGGTCTTGAAATTGTGGCAGTCCTCCTGTCTCAACCTCTGAGTGCGGGGAGTATATATGTGCGCCACTATACTAGGGTAACAATATATGTTTATTTCATGTGAGCTTTAGTTTAGTATCCTTTTCATAATTTTGTTCTTTTTTCTAGGGTTATCAACTATTTTCAGTATCCTTTAATGTATATTTATTGGGTAGACGGAAGTGGCCTGATTCTACTTTTCTCTGTATCTTTCTTTCTTCGTCTCACTTTTTATTTCCCATGTCACACTTTATAAAAATACAGAATATTGATACACTCATCTTCCATCTTCTTGCCTCATTTGATTCTTGCAGATGTACTTCTGTAATTTAACATATTCACTTTAATTTTGTATTTTTGCATAGCTTTCAACTTTGAAGAACAGCTCAGAGGAATATAAAATGATTGGCTTGCACAGTCACTGAATTTTGTGAGACATACTGCTCCATTATTGGTTTACTTTACATGTTGGCCACTTTGTATGCTTGTTTCGTAAGTGAGGTGCTCCATTTAATTCTTTTGCCTTTGTGAAGAATTTGGTAATTTGGCTGGAGGCTAAAATCTGTCTCTGATCTGGTTTTATAAAACGTTTGAGAAAGTAGATTAAAATAAATATTTCTTAAAATAACTTGGACATGAATTTCAAAAATTATGGGTTAATATCTTCATCATTATAGATGCACATAATAAAAAAAAAATATATATATATATATATAATATGAAACTATGCTTGAATGAAATGAATAGATATCTTAGCAGAAAAATTATTGTAATTGACCATTTAAAAAAACATAAATGGCTAGTATATGGTTTAGTGAAATTCTGCACCATTTCTAACTTTTTAAATTAGTTTTTATTCTCTTTAAAAATGAAAAGTAGATGATCATAAGCCCCTGCTCCCAATAAAATAAATGAGAGGAAGATGCCACAGTAAGTCAAAGGTGAAATAGCACTTTATTTGAGGATAACTGTACTGAACTGATAATTGGTGGTCCACTGTTACACCCAACTGAACTGACTGGCATGGCCCTGAGTGTGGGAGGCCCACCGGAGGATTGTTGCTGTCAGCACAAGAGGCAGAGCTGGAGAAGCTGATAACAGGCAGTTGGGGACACTCTTTGGAGACACTGTTGAAGCTGATGGAAGCTGCTAGTTCTCCTGGGCTATTCTTCTGGAGGACCTTGCCATGCTGGATTTCTTGATCAACTTGGCTGCTCTTGCTGAAGAAGGTGCTCAGTTATTGCTGAGAATGGCTCTGGTTCACTTCGGGGAGCGTTGGTCCTCATCTTGCACATTGCTTCCTGACTGCAGAGGGGAAGATGGCACACTCCTCAGCCTTGTGGAGAAGCTTGTCGCATTGATTTTCCTGTAGAAACTCAGCTTTTCTCATCACTGGAGGAGCTTGGGAGCCCACTGATGCTGAGGATGGCTGTGGTACTTTTGGGGGAGCTCTGGTGCTTACCTTGAGCATTGCTTCCTGGCTCCAGTGCAGATCCCTCAGCCTGCTAGCACAGATCCTTCATCCCGCTGGCACAGACTTTCTAGCTTCCACCACTGACCTTTGGGCCTTTCCAGCTCAGATCTGTGAAGCGATCCTGCAGGAGACATTGTCATGGGCAGTAGACCTCCAATTGGACTTATCAGAGACATTGTTATGGGCTTAAGTTTTCAGCCAGACTCATGCAGCATATTAGGATCCAGGCCCTCAGCTGGATTCTTTGGTTTGTAGTGTGTGGACAGATTTCCTGCACTCTTATGCATGGTTCTTTGGATGATTCATTATAAAATAATCTTATAAAATGTGTCCTGTAGGGGCCGGGGAGGTGGCTCAGTGGAATAAGCGCTTCCCTGGCAAGCGCAAGGGTCTGAGTTCAATCCCCAGTTCCGCCTAAAAAAAAATGTGTCCTGTATTGTATTGGTTCCCTTGAAAATACCCTACACCATGATAGTAACCAGCCTCTGAAAAGTTGTTATTTTCTTTCTGAACAGTACTTATCACTGAACAGCCAACAATCACAATGAGAACCATGTGAGCAGTGTCTTTGCCAGTTCCCAGTGAGCAGTACCAAATATTTGCAGCTGAGGAGCATTGGGTATGGCTTAAATTAACATATTTTAGCAGCTAGAAGTCATTATGTTTGCCAATGATCTGAAACAATTTTTCCATTTCAAAGCGCTGCTGGCTTTTACTTTATTTTTCAGGATGAATGAGGTAGGAGAAACTGAAACAAATGACATGAAACTAGAGTTTGTTAATGGAAACAAAAGTAAAAGCCTTTGAACTTCCTTTGTGTGTGGGGAATAAATGGGAGGAGAAAAGTCTCCAATAGATTAAAAAGTATTAAATAATATTTAATATTCATTGTAAAATATTTTCATAAAAATAGTGGAAAGCTTTGAAAGCATGAGAAAGGGCTGGGGATGTCCATCAGTGGCAAAGCACTTAGCGTGCATGAGATCCTGGCACCACAAAAAAAATTGAGAAAACCTATGAGAAGCTTGACAAGATATAACTAGTATAAACATTCTGGGAGCATCATAGTCAAGAAGGAGTATGATGGAGAACAGCCTAGGTGACATAGCTAGATTCTATTTCAGAAAACAAAAATAAGCACAAAAGAGAATCATCTTTCCACATTATATTTTTTATAGAAAATATAAATAATCCTTGTCTATATGAACAGAAAATAATTAAATGTTAAATAGAAGTCTATGAACATATGTTTATAGTGCGCATAAAGAATGATGAAAATTTTTAATGAAGTGACTTTATTTTTTAAAATTATTTATTTGGCCAGCTCAGCCCACCCTGAGGGTGGGGCTGGAGCAGCATGTGGTGCCGGGGATCGAACCGCAGTCCCCTGCAGCTGCTAAGTTTGCCTAAGCAGGCGCTTTAGAGCGCTGAGGTCTCTCACCAGGCCAAATGAAGTAACTTTAATTGGTGCCTGGTTCTCCATGTCCCAGGTTT